GGGTCCCACCAAGCTGGTGTGGGGCAGGTCGGGGTGCCCAGGGTGCCCACCACCCATCTAGGGGGTCCCACCAAGCCGCTGTGGGGCCRGCTGGGGCCCCGGGGTGCCCCCCACTTTCACGTCTCTGCAGAGCTCTCCGTGTCCTGCCTGCCCAATACAGGGACTCGTTCAAACCCRCACCCCAGAGCAGCGCCCGCACCGGGGTACCCGCGGGCCCTGGGGCAGCACCGGCACCGTGGGCACACGAGCACCCCAAGAGGGGCGCATCAGGCACCCCGACACCCCCTCGGCACCTCCGCGTGCCCCCAGAGCTCCGTCCCGGCGCCGGTTTGCGCGCGCTCAATGCCGCCTTTCTCCTCGGGAAGCGCGGCAGCCGCGTTCCGGCCCGCTCAAAGGCTCCTCTTGTTTCTCCTCGGGGGCCCCGTGTTTTCATAACCCCCCACCCTGGCCGCCCGCCCCGGCCCCGCCGTCAAAGAGGCTCTTTCTTCGCCGGCGCGAGCGGCCGATGGGCTCGCAGGAGGCCGGGGAGCAGCCGGCTCGCGTGGTCGGGGCCGGGGGACCCCCCCATACGGTGCACCCACCTTGGGGAGGCAGCRCGGGCAAGAGGGATGGAGCCAAGGCACAACCCGCTGCGAGAGTCCAGCGGGATGCGCCGGGATGCGGAGCACACGGGCGAGCTCGGAGCAGGAGGGAGGAGGACGCCAGGTGAGCGGGGTTGGGGTCCCCTTTGCGCCCATGTTCCCCCCAAGCTGCAGCAACGGGGGGTGCCCGGGTTGAGGGTGTCCACGGGCAGCCCCCGCCGAGCTCGGGATGCGGCCGGTGGTGACACTCGTGACCGTCCCCTGTCACCCCATGCACCCCGCTTGGGATAGGGGTAAGAGTCCCTGCGTGGGGSCCCTCCTGGGAATTAGGGACACGGAGGAGGCAAATGGGGGTGCAGGGGAGGGGAGGTTGCTGCAAGGCAGGACCGTGAGCCCCAGGCTGGCTGTCCTGAGTGGTGGGACACGGCCCTGCCGCCGAGCACAGCCTGGGGACACACCTGYACCCCAGGGTGCCCCCAAAACCAGRGGGAACCCAGTGTGGGGAGCCCTAAGGGCCGATCCCCGGCCTGCAGTGGGGCTGCAGCAGAGCCCCCATCCTCCTCCGGCGGCAGCCGTGGGGCCGGGGCATCACTGCAGGTCCTGCCAGCCCCGGAGGGCACAGCCGGGCTCACRCGCAGCCGGGGCAGAGACCGGGCAAACTCAACGCAGTGCCGGGCAGCAGCGGGGGAGCCCAGGAGCAGCCCCCAGCCCCGCACGCAGCCCCCCGCAGCGGGGGGAAGAAGGGAGACGACACATTTCCTTGCTTAGGAGCAGCTTTACCAACGCACGGCCACCTCCCTGGGGACATTGCCAGGCCACCAGCACCACGAGCACATCTGCAGGAGGGACAGGAGCACCCAGAGAGCCCTTTACCTGGAGAGACAGGAGAACCGCTCAGCCTCCGTGCCCAAAAGGGCACCCACCCTATTTAAGGGTTTCCTTATGTCCATGCACATGCGATGGGAATGGGGCGCAGGCATCCTGCTCCCCTGCACCCATGGGTGCCCCCGCGGCGCGGGACTCACTGCTGGGGCGGCAGGAGCGGGCGGCGGGCGGCGTCGGGCGGCCCCCGCGCCGGCGGGGCGCGCTGGCCCGTGCGCACGTTGAACATGGGCAGCGTGGAGAGCGGCCGCGGCACGTCGGCGCGGGCGGCCGCCATGCGCCGCAGCTCCTCGGCGTCGCCGCGCACGCTGCGGTGATGCGCCAGCTGGATGCTGCGGGCAGCGGCGCCGTGAGCGCCCCGCACCGGCGCCCGGCACCCGCCCGGCCTCAGCGGCACCCCGGCCTCTTCGCCCGGGTGACGCCTCGGTGTCCCAGGACAGCACGTGTTGTCTTGGGGAGGACTCGGGCAGTTTTTGCACCCAGGAGTGGTGTTTCCCACCCCGGGGACCCCCGGGAGCCCCCATGGGAGTGGGGACGGAGCTGTCACCGTGCGCAATGTCCCTGTCACCGGAGTGGTCGAGGTCTCCCCTGTCCTCTGGTCCCCCTGTGCTGCTCGGCCCACCCACCACCAGCACAAGCCCCACCAGACTTACTCAGGCGTTTCCTTGTCCCGTTTCTGCCTACAAAACCAAGCAGAAAAGGTAAAAACAAAAAAAAAAAGAAAATAGAGCAGAAGGTGGAGGAGAGGTTGTCACCTCCACAGACCGGAGGAGGTGACAGGAGGACCGGCCAGGGCCAGGGGCACAGGGTTAACCCTGGCAGCCCCCGTCCCTTTGCGCTGCAGCAGCAAGTGGGGGGTTTGGGGGCCGTTTCGGTGCCCGACTCACAGTCCCTGGCGGCGGCAGCACATGAGGTGGCCCAGGAGCAGGCAGAGCAGCGCGGCCAGCAGCAGCGGCAGCAGCAGCGTGAGCAGGTAGCCGGCGAGCAGCGGGGCGGCGGGCGCCGCCGTGGGGGGCGCGAAATCGCCGCCCTCCTCCAGCACCCCCGAGCCCGGCACCGGCGCGGGCGCCGCGGAGCCCACGGGCACCTCGAGCTGCAAAACGGAGGTGGCACAAGGCGGAGGCGGGCTGGGCGTCGGGCGCCCGCGCCGCCCRCGGCTCTCACCAGGCTGAGGTTGCACCAGGCGATGCTGAAGCGYGGCGCGAAGGTGTCGTAGCAAGTGGCCACGGGCTGCTGGCCCAGGCGGCAGCGCAGGCGGCTCTGCGGGGACGCGGCCGCCACCAGGCACTGCGAGAAGGTGCCGTGCGACCCCACCGTCACGTACACCCTGGGGGCACGGCGGCCGTCACGGGGTGCCCGGCAGTGCCACCGTGCTGGTCCCCCAAGCCACTTTTCCCCCCCAGCTCGGGGTGCAGGTCCCGGGCGCGGAGCGCCGCGGCGGGCGCCTGGYCCCTACCCCTCCTTGCGGCCCTCGATGGGCAGCGGGACGCGGGCGCCGCGGTGCAGGGCCGAGGTGACGTTGACGATGGCGAGGTCGCGGCGCTCCCAGACGCCGCGCGCCGCCTCGGCGAAGCGGCGCCGCGTGGCCGCCGGCAGCAGCTCCTCCACGTCCCTGTCGGTCACCAGGAACTCGCCCTGGTACCGCGGCGGCCCGGCTGCGGCGGGAGGGTCGGCGTGGGGCACAGCGCCGGGCTGCAACCCCCCCGAGCCCCCTTCTGTCCTCACCTGGGGATGGCACCACGGTGACAATGACGCTCTGTGCCACCGTCTCGTAGGTGGCCCTGCTGTAGGCCAGCACCTGCGGTGACAAAGACCCCACGGTCCCCAGGTTCCCCTGTGCACGAGGCGGTGCGGGGTCCCCACCGCGGCATGCAGGGTCCCCCCGCACCCACCTCGATGCTGTGGGTGCCAGCGTCGGCGTCCGTGGGTGATCCGTACAGGTAGGCGGGCGCGGACGGGTGGCGCTGGGCGAAGCGCAGCCAGCGYGGCAGGTCCGGGCGGCCGCCCAGGTGTGCGTGGAAGGTGGTGGGGCCCACGGGGACGGCGGCTGGGCGGCCCAACACGGGGACACGGGGACACGGGGACATGGGAACACAGGGAGATGGGGACACAGAGAAGAACAGACACGGGGACACACAGACATGGAGACACAGGGAGACGGGGACACAGGTCGATGGGGACACAGGGAAGAACAGACACGGGGACACACAGACATGGGGACACAGGGAGATGGGGACACAGGGAGATGGGGACATGGGGACACACAGATATGGTGACACACAGACACGGGGACACAGGGAGATGGGGACACAGGGAGACACAGATACAGGGACACACAGACACGGGGACACAAATGGGGACACAGGGACACATAGACACAGGGACACAGACATGGGGACACAGGGAGATGGGGACACACAGACACACAGACACACAGACACAGGAACACAGGGAGATGGGGACACGGGGACACACACATGGGGACACAGGGAGACGGGGACATGGGGACACACAGATACAGGGACACACAGACATGGGGACACAGGAACACAGGGAGATGAGGACATGGGGACACACACATGGGGACACAGGGAGATGGGGACACGGGGACACACAGACACAGGGACACAAATGGGGACACAGGGACACATAGACACATGGACACATAAACACAGGGACACAGGAAGATGGGGACACAGGGAGATGGGGACACAGGGAGATGGGGACACAGGGAGACAGGGACACGGGGACACACAGATACAGGGACACACAGACACGGGGACACAGGGACACAGGGAGATGGGGACATGGGGACACACAGACACGGGGACACAGGGACACAGTGAGGCCCCGCAGCTGGCGGAGCCCCATCCTGCCAAGCCGCCCGCCTCCAGGTCGGGGTCCCGGTGCCCCAGGAGGAGGGCGCATCGCGGCGCAGGGGCGCGCGGACACCCGCGGCACTGGCCCTCACCGCTGTCCTCCTCGCGCGCGGCRACGAAGGCCTCCTCGAAGGGCTCCCGCTGCAGCTCGTGCACGAAGACGGCGCCGGTGGCGGCCGAGAGCCTGAGCTCGGGCAGGGAGGCGCCGCCGAGGGCGGGGGCTGCGGGGGGGCACGCGGCTAGAGCAGCCCCCCGATGCACTTTCCCCATTGACCCTCCCTGGGCCGAGCGGCGGGCGCTCCAGTCCCCTGCCCRTCCCCCTGGCGCGGGCGCTCCCCACGCACAAGGGCCCGGCTATATTTAGGAGGGGACGGGAGGGCAGCGAGATCCCTGCCAGCTCCCAACACCACGGCCTCGGCCACCTCCGGGTCCACCCTCCGTCCCTGTCCCGCTCCCCGGGCCCCCCGTCCCGCCTGGGGTGTCCCTTGGGGGTCCCAGGCACTCGCCTGGCAGCGCCCAGAGCCACAGCAGCGCCAGCACCTCCATGTTCGCCGGGCGGGAGCGGGGCCAGCGCCTGATTGACAGGGGCAGCGGTGGCACCGCGGGGACGGGGACGCGGGCGCGCGCGGCGGGACGTCCCGCGGGTACTGTCACCACCCCCCCGGGTGCCAGCGCCCTCCAAGGCACCAGCGGCCCCGGAGAGACAGGAGGCCACCGAGCCACCTCTGTGCCCCAAGGAGGACGTGGTGGGGGTGGCATCGTCCCCGCGTGTCCCCCCGCACGCTCAGCCGGGTGCCATGTGCAGGGCAGAGCGGGGCAAATGCAGCCGCTGTGGGTGACAAAGGGATGGGACACCTGGGGACGGGGCCAGCAGCCTTGTCACCCCCCGATCCAATCCAGCTGTGCCCTCGCTGCCGTATCCACCCCGCTGCTGTCCCCGTGCCAGCAGCATGGCACCGCCATGCACACGAATGTGCACCGCCATGCACACGCGTGTGCCCCGCCACGCACACGCGTGTGCCAGCGTGCGAGCGGGCACAAAGCGCCACGACGGTGACATGCGGGGGCGCAGGGCACCCGTGGGGCTGGACGGGGCCCCTCTGCGCCTGCTCGGCGTGGCCGGGGGGGCCGCGGCGGCGGAAGGGGCAGGGGAAGGGGGACGTCACCGCGTGGGGACGTCACGGCGCCGTCACGCACAAAGGGACGGGAAGCCGCTCGCTGCAGGGTCCTGCTGCCCCCAGCTGCTGCTGGTGGGGGGCTTGTCCCCCTGCAAAGGCGGGGAGGGGCAAGAAGCGGTGCAATGTCCCCCCCAGCCCCGGGGCGCTTTTGGGGGGGGCTGCAAGAGGAGGGCTCCTGCTGCGATGCCAAAGCTGTGGCTGGTCCCCCCGGGTGTCCCCAGCAGGCAGGACCCCCCCATGCACCCATGTGGTCTGTGGTCCCCCCGCCCCGTCCTGGCCCTGCCTCGGTCCCCCTGGGCAGGACATGCAGCACCACGTGCCGTCCCCCCCAGGAGGGGAGGCAGCGAAAAGGGGGGGCCATCACCCGGTGGGGACACGAGACATCCCGGTGTGGGGGGACAGTGGGTGCTGGGGCAGGGAAGGGTTAATGCTGAGGTGCCCCTGGGGACACTGGGCACTGGGGCAGCTTGAGGGGACACAGGGACAGGGGGACCAGGGACAGGGGGACATGGGGAGAGAGCCAGGAGGGTGCATGGAGATGGGTTTGGGGGGAACACGGGCCACATATGGGGACAGCTTGGGGGGACATAGGGACAGAGCAAGGACATGGATAGAAACCTGGGGGACGCAGTGGCAGGGCTGAGAGGACAGAGGGGCATAGGAGGGGGACAATAAGGGGTACAGCAGGACAAACCCAAGGTATACGGGGGGACACAGGGACAGGAAGCCTTTGGGGACAC